TGCTTGTTTCTGTAGGCTATAGTGGGGTATCCCATAAGGGGTACAACCCAATCAGGGTTTCCCATTTGTACTCACTTCGTTCATAGTCATTTCATTCTCGTTCACACTTTCTCAATATATACGTGCTCCTGCTTGTCTAGTTTTATATATATGCCTGTACTCCTGCATGTGAACTGGCCTCTGGCCCTGCTCTTGTGCTCGGACTGTGTGGTGACTTTGTGATCCACCCTGAGCGTGCTTTGCTTGACTGGTCTTGTGACCCCTTGTTCTCCCCCACTTTGCCTATGGGGGTGTGTCAGATTATTATAGCTAATGCATGTTTGTAGGCCATAGTGGGGTAGCACATATGGGGTACAGCTTTCTAGGGTTGTATTTGTACCCAACTCTGACTTAGTCATTTCATTCCTGTTCACTTATTTTCACACTAGATGGGTTGTACTTGCTATAGAGCACCCCACTACAGGCTAGAGAATAACATTCCGACATTCCAGTCTTCGACAGACCTCTGGTTGGCATTAAAAGGGTGTATCGCCTTCGACAACATTTCAAAATCGAGGCAAATATTTTTTCTTCGACGAAAACTCAAATGTGATGTTCGACAAGAGGTGCTCTCGAGATGTTCGACAGTATTTAGGGATGTCGCTAAACGTTTCGACAGAGCGCATTGAAAAACTTTGCCCCTACACTTTCACATTTTTGTCGAAACAGTATGTGAAGAGTTCTAGGACTTAGGAGGCATGGAAACCTTAGGTGATAGGAGGGAGGTTGAGTTTAGTTCGAGTGAGTTTAGGAAAGTCGAGAGGAATGAGTTTCACTAAAGAGAATGGCAAGTACAAATAGGTAAACAGCAACACAAGGAGGTGCACCACCAAACATGATGCAATAACTACACTACAATTGCAAACAATTATATAAATTATGTAAACATATTTTGACACAGTACTGCATTACTTTCTGTCGAACAGGGAAACTCATTCGATAAGGTTCCGATTTCACAGTCGGGAAAACAAAAATTTCCGAGACGTTGTTCGATGAAATTGATTATCGACAGGAGAAGCCGTTTCTATATTTTGACAAGTCAGCATCTGCATTCGACGCGGAAATTGTCGAGCTGCGCATTATCCCCATTCGTCAAAACGAAAGATTTCGACAGACAGAGCAAAGCGGTCGAGAAGTTTATTTCAATCGACCAAGCATATCTATCGCCGCCAGCACCCTGTTTCACTTCTCTTTGTAGCATCGAGACTCACAATCACATAACTAAATCAATAGTGCTCGGATTTTACTATACGTTTATACATATCGTGAACGTGGACAATCGACACAAGCAATGTTATTGTTGCAGTAGAGTTTGGCAACTGCATTTTATTACCCCGTCGAACAGACCATATTTGTCTATGTAATAAATACAGAAAAAACATCATATTCAACAAACCATAGCTTTCCAAATTGTATGACATTTACACTACCTGAAAAGGATGGTAGTTCACCTATGGTCGTGATTGGTTTTCAAAGTCTCTTCGACAACACTTCGTTTTATGTCGACGACGGGACGGTCGACGACAAAAATAGTGTCGCAGGCTCTGCTCGACGGGATCCAGTCGACAACGCCGATGTGCATTGCTAATGCACATTAAGGGTCGATGAAACCCTTCGATGGGCACTGCTCGGCGTGCCGTGCTCGACGAGCTGGTCTCGGCGAATGCTATTCGACCAAGCAGCGCCGAGCTGGTCGGTGAAAGTAACGCCTGACCCCTCGTCTTCGTACTCGGTTGAGTCGGTCCCTGCAGCGTGCTAGAAAGGCTGGGCCCGGTTGTACAAGAATGCATTCTCATTAAGTTCATATTCACTTGCTCTACGGCGCACGGGCAGCGAGCGAAACCGTCGACATGTGTTCTACCTGGCACCTGCACATGAATAAGATTAAAATTGATTATTACGTATTAATGAGAATTGTAGGGAATGTCCCCTTTTTTTGTGCCTCCTATTCCTTATCGAGTTTGCCCATTGCAGTTTATGTATTTATTTGTTTAGGTATACGCTTTTATTTCAGTGTCAGCTGTGCTCTGTATCGAACTGGTCTGTGGGGCGTTCTGCCGCGCTTTTCTCTGCACCACTTTCCGTCGGGTCGAGACGGAATCCGTCGACGGAGGCGGATTTACTCGACGGACAGGGGGGTTGGTGCAGGCGGGGCTGGTGCAGACCGGGGGGAGCACGTTGGGTCAACGCCAGCTCGAGCGAGGACCACCTCGCGTCACTCCGAGCTGGCGTGGCTCGTTTCGGCGGGCGGGCTGGCTGGCTCCCGCCCCTCGCGTGCCCCGCCACGCGACAGAGGGAAAACGAAAATCCCTCCGAGGAAAACCCGCAGGGGCGAAAGGGGGTCCTCGGAGGGATTCGGGCGACGTCTTCCCAGAAAAATGTATGCTGCTATGGTACATTACTACAAGTGGACTTTGATGCCGGTAGGAACATTGCACTCAACGGGAGAGTGGAACCCACAGTGGGCGAGGAGCTTTTTGCATAAGCATATAACCTAGATAATAGACCAAACCAGCCCTTTCCTGCCCGTCTGTCTGGATAATAAGCTGCCCTTTCCTCATTTACGTTCACAGCTACTACCCCTTCCGTAAATGAGACCAGATCCAGTCCAAGTACGATATTAATATTTCTCCACGTCATTCGATCGAAATCAATCGTAGAAGTGGCGCGTGCGCCTGCATTGCGTAGAGAGTGCTCCTTCCTGGAGTCCGCGGTTGTCCTCCTGCCGCTGGTTGCATGCCACGTCGATTACCTGCCTGATGCCCAACTGTTTGCCGGTCGTTGAAAGTGGACAAACGCCACCTGTAACTTTTGGCATGCAATCAGCATAGATATATTTCGGCGGAAAGAATGTTTATGACTTCCATGCTCCACTAGCCCCAGGTTGCGCACTATTTCATTCTCGGCGGCGATTAATATTTTGCCTTTTTTTTTTGCTGGGCAATGGATGTGAGAGGGAAACCGCAGAGGCAGAACCGGCAAGTGATTCCTCACTGCACACGCACGGTTGCTGCAATGGGGATCTGCGTGTAACGACTGTGAGTGGGTGTAACCCTCTCATAAGACAACCTAGTGTTTGTCGCGACCCGATTTAGTGCACACAGTACAGTACAGTACAGTTTTCATTACAGTCAGACGGGACTGTGTGTACAAACCCTGCAGTGTGTGTGGAAGAAGGGTGTCAAGAAACAGATGGGCTGGCTGCTACGAATGTGAGTTGTGAGTTTCGCAAGCATTGGAATGGGTTGTCTCACTCTTTTTTTGTGTCTGCCCTGTGAAAATATCTCCGGAGTCACGTTTCCCAAGCACAAAGGTGCATTGTGGATTCCTCCCGCAGAATCGCCACCGAGCTGATCTTATTGCGCGTGGGAGGTGTCCAACGGCACTGCTCATTCTTCTCCACATCTCACAGATCAAACCTGCTCCTGCAATCGAAGCATGACCACCCGCCATTGGTAACCAACAAGTCACATCGCATACGGCGATCAGATTACATAAAAGGTCCTCAGCCAAAGGCGGTGGCAATATAGCCCATGTGACACAAGTGCGGGTAACTGCTGGTCCCCTCAGCTCCAAGCTTGCCACTATGCCAGCCGCGTTGGATCGTAAGTTGTTCACCTAGGTGCCTTGGACTGACTTCTCAGGCAAGTACGCTGGCGAAGTGGTTGACAACACGAAACCCTTATTCGGAGCATGTGAACGCGCGGGAAACGACCACATGTTGCACCATGTAATAGCCAGCCTAAGTACGTAGAAGCGAAGAACTTCTCGAGGAAGATCTGAAGGGAAACAAGATAGTTGAAATTGTGTGCAAAAAATTCACATCGCGAGAAGCGCACTCCGTGAAGAATAGCTCCACGCTCGTTTCCTCGTGAATCCATATTAAAACTCTTTTTTTTTTTCGTAGCGCTACCTTTTTCAAGGACAGGAACATGACAGGTCCGCGAGTCGCGTCTCTTTGTTCGGCTTGAAAGCCGATCGGCTTGGGGCCAGACAGCATGGTGAAGCCGCGGAAAGGAACATGTGAGAAATTGGACTTCAGATCTGCTAGCGTAGTAATTGTGGATTACATCTCAAAAAGGCCACAAAAGCGACGTTTGAAAATATAATAGCGACGTATTCCAGGACTCAAACATGCGCGGAATAGACTGCGAATGGCACGATATGACCCGGTAGTGATGGATAACGTTTTTGGTTTTCCAGGCCTTTCCAGGGCAGTGGCGGCATGCACCATATCTCTGCCAGCGTCTGCCCACGTGGCTCATGACGTGTCCATGGACATGGATTTCCCATGGCTCTCATCTCTCTGCCGTGCTCTCTCCATATTCTCCGCCATACTTTTTGCCTCCTTGCCATTCCTTTCTCCTTGGTCTTTGCCAGGCTACCTGATCAATTGCACACAGAGGGATAAGGACCACCGCAGAAAGGGAGAATGGAGGTGAGGGATTATAATGAAGATTAGGCTACTCAATGTGTTTTGAAGATGGGGATGGGTATTGGGGGCATCAAAATGATGGATTTGAGAAAGTGAGAGGCTGATATGCTCTCCTGAATGATGCTAAAAAAAAGGATGCTGAGCCACGCCTGGGAGATCAATAATCCAGAAGCAGGAATAAAAAAGCAGGACTACAAAAACTTCCTGTTTTTTTGCATATGCTGGTGCAAGATTATGACTTCAATTTCTTCCTGTTTTTTTTGCATATGCTGGTGCAAGTTTTTGCACTCAATTAACCCTCTGAGCTTTCGCATGGCAATACTCTCTCCAGCACACTGCTCCTGCATTATTTACCTGCGGCTAGACACCCAACCCCTGCATGGGGCATCCAAACTTGTCAAAGCATGAACAAGGTATGCTTGTTTAGCCTCCCCGAAAACTGCACTCTTGGTGGAGGCTAAACAAGCCTCCAACTCTGCCTCCTCCACTCCTTTACCTTTTTTTGTTTGTTGGTTTGCTTAATAAACTATGCTCCTCTCGCACCTGTTATGTTCCCTTTCCTCCTCTTCCTCTTCTTCTTTTTCTTCTTCTTCTTCTTCTTCTTCTTCTTCTTCTTCTTCTTCTTCTTCTTCTTCTTCTTCTTCTTCTTCTTCTTCTTCTTCTTCTTCTTCTTCTTCTTCTTCTTCTTCTTCTTCTTCTTCTTCTTCTTCTTCTTCTTCTTCTTCTTCTTCTTCTTCTTCTTCTTCTTCTTCTTCTTCTTCTTCTTCTTCTTCTTCTTCTTCTTCTTCTTCTTCTTCTTCTTCTTCTTCTTCTTCTTCTTCTTCTTCTTCTTCTTCTTCTTCTTCTTCTCTTCCTCCTCCTCCTCCTCCTCCTCCTCCTCCTCCTCCTCCTCCTCCTCCTCCTCCTCCTCCTCCTCCTCCTCCTCCTCCTCCTCCTCCTCCTCCTCCTCCTCCTCCTCCTCCTCCTCCTCCTCCTCCTCCTCCTCCTCCTCCTCCTCCTCCTCCTCCTCCTCCTCCTCCTCCTCCTCCTCCTCCTCCTCCTCCTCCTCCTCCTCCTCCTCCTCCTCCTCTGTCTGTTGTGGCCAGGAGATGCGCCCCCCTGCGATGGACCTCAACGTTTCTGACACATCTTCTGAAAAATCGCCTGGTGCGTCGCTTCTGGCTGGCGGAGCAGTTGGGGGCGCAGAGGAAACAGTAGCTGGTGCTGACCATGACTTAGCTGGTGCGGTGGAGGAAAGGATGATGGATGAAGCTTGCAGAAGGGATGAAAGGGACGAGAGATACGAGCAGCAGCAGCAGCAGCAGCAGCAGCAGCAGCAGCAGCAGCATGTGCCATCACTTGCCTTCCCACGTCTCAACCCTTCCCTTAGCTCGCTCTCCGCTTCAGCAGGATTTCCCCTCAGAGGAGAACGGAGCAGCGGAGTGATGGAGGGCAGCGGAGGTGATTGGAGGCAGGCAGGACTGAGTCTAGCCCCTCCTGTTGCCTCAGGTGGATTTTCATGTGCTTTTGGTAATGCCTCTGCTAGAGAGGAGCAGCACAGGGTGGAGAAGGGGCGAGAGGAGCGGCAGGGGCAGGAAGAGCGGATGGTTTGGCAGCAGCAGAGAGAGGAAAGGATGCAACAGCGACAGGGAGGGGAGGGACAAAGGAAGGAAGGGGCGCAGCAGCGGCAGGAGCAGGAAGGGCAGAGGGGAGCGCAGCGTTGGTGGTCTGGTGAGAGGCTTGGACGGATATGGAGGTCGGGTGGAGCGGAGGCAGGCGGGGTGGAGAGGCCCGAGGCCGGTTTTGAGAGTGCACAAGAACCCCTTGGGGGGACGGGAGAGCGTGGTCTGGATGAGAACGTGGAAGGTTGGCAAGCCAGTCTTGTTGGGAGGGATAGGGGTGCTGGGCAGGAGAGAGTAGGGGGTGCTGTGCAGGAGGGGGAACACGTGTGGAAAAAGCCCAGGTTGGAGTTGGGACGGGGGCAAGAGCAGCAAGACGTGCGTGATTGGAGGGAGAACGAGCAGCAGCAGCAGCAGCAGCTGCTTAAAGGTCTCGGAAGCACAGAGGAGGAAGAAGGGAAGAAGCAGGTGAAAAGGCAGTGGCAGGAGCGCAGCACCCAAAGCCCCATCAAACCCCATCAGGGATCTTCTGAGCTCTCCCAGATTCCCCTCAAGGCCCATCCGAATCTTCTTGAGATTTCCCATAGCCCTGTCAAACCGCATGAGCGCCAGCGCTCAGGTTCCCACATGATGTCACCTGGTCCATTATCGGGGGGGTGGACTATGGCGCAAAGCTTGGTATCCCCCATAGGAGGTGGTTCAGTACTAGCACCCGGACCGAACAGTTTTGTAGTGAGTAGAACACACGGCACCGTAGGGGCACATGTACAGCCCGTGGCAGCTGAGGCAGTGCAGAGTGGGTACGGGCAAGGGGAGGGCGTGAAATCCGCTGATGCAGACTCCGATGCAGAGGCTGCGACAGCAGCAGCAACAGAAGCGGCAGAAGAAGCAGCACGTGCTGCTGAGAGTGTGCGGTTCTTTCATTCCTTGAATCGCATCCGATCACAGCTACATTCCATAGGCGTGACAGGCGCAGGAGGAGGGGCAGGGGTAGAGGCAGTGGTAGGACACGGGGCAGAAACAAGGGCAGGGGTGGGTGGAGGGGCAGGGGCAGGGGCAGGGGCAGGGGCAGGGGCAGGGGCAGGGGCAGGGGCAGGGGCAGGGGCAGGGGCAGGAGCAAGTTTTCTGTCCCCATTCGGCCTGATGACTCCCGAGGGAACTCGAACGGCGCAGCAGAGAGAATCCATGAGGCCCCTGCCCCTCACACAGGGTGGTTCAGGAACGACCTTGGCGCCCTTCCCTGCACAGGTGCCGCACGTGCACAGCCGAGACTCCAGTCCTGTGGTGAACCCCTCTCTCGCATCCGCACCTGCCGATTCCACCCACCAAGGCATCAGGCCGCTAGCGCGTGTTGAGACGCCTGAAAACGTTTTTGCAAGCTTCTCCACAGCCGCGCTGAATGAGTCAACCCACCGTGAGCAGCAGCAGCAGCAGCAGCAGCAGCAGCAGCAGCAGCAGCAGCAGCAGCAGCAGCAGCAGCAGCAGCAGCAGCGGAGAATAGATGTGAGCCCTCTAGCGCAGATGGACCTTATGCTCACTGCCAGCTGGCACAGGCAGCTTGGCGGGCATCCTATAGCAGGTGAGGCGATAGTTGAGCGCCCTGTACCAGCGCATATGATAGGAGCGGACGCGTTAGGAGCTGATCCGATAGCAGATCACCTTATACAAGCGATTTCATTAGGAGCAGACGCTATAGGAGAGAAATCTACACCACGGCACCCTGTAGTAGGTCGCTCGATAGGAGCTGATGCGATCAGAATGTACCCGAGAACAGGACACTCGGCTGGGGATTTCGCCAGAGATTTTGCAGGGGGTAGGACGAGTGCAGTGAGGGGCGGAGAAGATGTCCAGATGCAGCGAACTGGAATTGGTGGGGCTGGCGGAACAGTAGCAAGGCGGGGAGACGGTGGTGGTGCTGCTGGTGATGGTGCTGCTGGTGCTGGTGCTGGTGCTGCTGGCAGTGGTGGTGACGGTGGCACGGGTGGTGCAATGGGCATTGGAGATAGCATTGGTTTCTTTTTGCAGGGGCAAGGCAGAGAGGGCGGCGCAGCCCTGAAGCTGTTTCGTTGGCATGAGGCAGAGGGGCGGGAAAAGCGAGAGGGAGTGGAAGAGGGAGGGGGTTTGAGGGTGGGGCCAAGAGAAGTAGTGGGAGAGAGATTGAGAGCGCAACTGGGAGAGGAGTCACGGGGTGATAGGGGAAAGGCTGAGAGGTGCGGTTTTGATGGAGACAAAGGGGCAAAGGTGGAGAGGTGGGGAGGTGATGGGGGTGAGTTGCAACGGTGGGACCCTGGTGGGGGGGAGGAAGGCGAGGGGGTTAAAGGGGAGACGTGCGGCTTTGATGGGGATGGGGCGGCAACCCACCAGCTTGCGAAGCAGGTAGCGCATCTGAACAGTGTGGTTGTGAGTAGGACACGTGGCGCCATGGAATTGGCGGACGACGAAGGTCTCGCCCTGACTCTGGGGGGGAGTTTCGTGGCAGGGAAAGGAAATATAAAGGAAGGAGAGAGGGCGTTAGTGGCAGGGCAGGGGCCTGGTGTGGAGAAGGGGAGGGGGTTGGTGGCAGGAGGAGCAACGCCAGTAGCAGGAGGAGCAACGCCAGTAGCAGGAGGAGCAACGCCAGTAGCAGGAGGAGCAACGCCAGTAGCAGGAGGAGCAACGCCAGTAGCAGGATGGAGAGGCACTGGCACTGCCAGGGCATCTGAAGGTTTCTCTCCTGGTTCTGCTGCTGCTGCTGCCGCCGCTGCTGCTGCTGCTGCTGCTGCTGCTGCTGCTGCTGCTGCTGCTGCTGCTGCTGCTGCTGCTGCTGCTGCTGCTGCTGCTGCTGCTGCTGCTGCTGCTGCTGCTGCTGCTGCTGCTGCTGCTGCTGCTGCTGCTGCTGCTGCTGCTGCTGCTGCTGCTGCTTGTTCTTACATCCCGAATGCAGTCCCGCGTGCAGCTGCTGCTGCTGCTTCTGGTGACGGCACAGCTACTGGTACAGCTGCAGAAAGGAGGTCCGAGGCGACTCCCAGCTTGGAGCAATTTCTGCAACACTTTGACTCGAGTGCGCGCGATGCACGACTGGGTGCGGCTCAGTTCATTGAGTCTCCGTTCCTGGAGCACCTCAGGTGGAGCGTGCAACAGCAGCAGCAGCAGCAGCAGCAGCAGCAGCAGCAGCAGCAGCAGCAGCAGCAGCAGCAGCAGCAGCAGCAGCAGCAGCAGCAGCAGCAGCAGCAGCAGCAGCAGCAGCAGCAGCAGCAGCAGCGGGAGCAGCAGCAGCGGGAGCAGCAGCAGCGGGAGCAACAGCGGGAGGAGGAGAGAGCAGGAGCACTGCCAAGCAAACTCCACCCGCCCTCAGACTTCCCTCCATCCACCCAGCCATTAGCACCACCAGCAACACGAGCACCCCCTTTTGAGGGGAGCTCCGTTCCGCCATCCTTCCCTCATGCACTCTCCCATGCAGGCTGGTCCAACCAGGTCCATCTCTCTCCTCTCCTCCCAACCCCACACTCACACCACTTTCCTTCGCTCTTCCCGCCCACCGCCCGGCATCAATCCCCTCTTTCCTCACTCCTCCCACCCCCACTTCCACGCCAATCCCCTCTCTCCTCGCTCTTCCCTCCCCCACCCCCACACCAATCCCCTCTCTCCTCACACTACCCGCCCCCACCCCCACTGCCAGCACCCCTCTCCCCACGCCCCTCTCTCCCAATCTTCCCAGATTCCAACACTTTTTCTGCCCCGCCCCCCCCGGCACCTCTCTTCTCTCCCCCATTCTCCCCTTCTCCCACGCGGCCAGTCCTCCAATCTGCCCTGCCGTCATTTGCCTCTTCTCTCCCTTCGCTCTCTCTAGGCCTTCCCTTGCCGCCCAACCCTGCTGCTTCTTCTTATGCATCCCCTGCTGCTGCTGCTGCTTCTGCTTCTGCTTCTGCTGCTGCGATTGACTTGCAAGGAGTCCCACCCTTGACACCTGCTGCTGCTGCTGCTGCTGCTGCTGCGGTTGCTGCTGGTGCCAGTTCTCGTGATTTCGGTGTTACTGGTGCAAGTGGCGCTGCTCTCGCTGCTGCTGCTGCTCCTGATCTTGCTGCTCATGCTGCTGCTGTTGCTGCTGCCTCAGGCTTTGCGGGTGGTGACCACAACCTCAGAACAACCACCCTTCCACTGTTCCAATCGGGCATTGGTTACCTGCATGGGGCTAGCAGCGCAAGAAGAGTGGGAGAATCAGCATCGGGAGGAGCAGGAGGAGGAGGAGGAGGAGGAGGAGGAGGAGGAGGAGGAGGAGGAGGAGGAGGAGGAGGAGGAGGAGGAGGAGGAGGAGGAGGAGGAGGAGGAGGAGAAGCGGAACAACTGGGTGGACTCAGAGGAAGTCTAAGTGTGGTAGAAGGAGGGGGTGTAGGAATAGGGGAATCAGCATGGGGGGTAAGAGGAGAAGGAGTAGGAGGAGGAGGGGGTGCGGGGGATGGTAGCAATGCTGGTGCCGGTGGCAGCAGTTTTCCTTTTGGGGTTGTTGTGCAGTCCTTGGGAAGCAGTGGAGGCGGGTGGAGGGAAGGGCAGGGGGAAGCAGGCAGCAGGGAAGTGCAGGGAGGAGGCGGCAGGAGGTGGGGCATGGAGGTTCGCCTTGAAGACGCAGCTATGCTGGCACTGGGGCTCTCTGATGTGATTCGAGCGGCTGGGAGGGCTGGATCAGCTGCTAGTGCTTCCGCATCGGCGTTTCTGTCGAATGCCGTGTTGCACTCTGCTGCAGTGGAAGTGGCAGCAGCGACAGCGGCGGCGGCGGCTGCAGCAGAGGTAGGAGCATCGGCTGTAGCTGCGGCTGCAGCGACACGGTCTCTACCAGCAGCGACTGGTTCTGCTGCTGCTGCTGCTGCTTCTTCTGCTGATATGAGTGGGAGATTTCAAGGTGGAAAGGGGGGAGGAGGGAGAGGCAGAGGGACAGGGCGAGGAGCAGGGGCAGTTGGAGCGCTCACAGGGGCGGCAGCAGCAGCAGGATCAGGCCAAGCAGCAGCAGTAGCAGCAGCAGCAGCAGCAGGCGCAGCAGGAGCAGGAAGGGGGGGTGAAGCCGCAGCAGGAGTAGGAGCAGGTGCAAGCGGGCAGGGGGTGGGAAGGAGATGCAGCAGGACGGACGGCAAGGGGTGGGTGTGCAAGCGCATGGCAAGAGAGGGCTTCTTGCTGTGCCAGCACCACATTGCCGTTGCCAGTCAGTCATCTTCGGCACCCAAAACGGGTGGCGGCAGGAAGAGCAGGGTGAAGCAGGCCAATCAGCGCAGCACCCTTCAGCCTGTGAGTGATTCTGCTCCTGCTGCTGCCTCTGCTGCTGCTGGTGGCGCTGCTGCTTCTGCTGGTGCTGCGACTGCTGTTGGGTCTGCTGTTGGTGGCGTTGGTGATGCTGGTCCCGGTCCTGCTTCCACTCCTGCTGCTGCCAGAGAAGCTGCAGGAGCCCCTTCCTCCAGCTTTAATCTGCATAACTACAATGCCTCTAATCCGCCTCAGTACAGTGTTTCTAATCGGCCTCACTGTAGTGCTTCTAATCGTAACACCTGTGGTGCACGTGGTAGCAGCAGCCGGGGTGACGGTGCAGCAGACACGGAGAGGGGAGAGAGTGTTGGTGTGATCAGAAACATCAACAACATCAGCATCAACATCAACATGAACCTCAGCAACCCGTTTGATGAGCGGCACAAGTAACGCCGTGAGGAGAAAAGCTTCGAGACATCTCAAAGCTTGGTGCTGGAGACATGGACGGGGGAGAGGGTGTCGGGGGTGGTGGGGGGAGGGGATTTGAGGAGTCAGCAGCATCAGCATCAACATCAACATGAAACTGAGCAACCCGTTTGACGAGCGGCACAAGTGAGGTCATGTGACAGCTAGGAGGGCAGCTAGGAGGGCAGCTAATAGAAAAGTGAGAATAAGATGCTTGGTTAAGATAGAGAAGAGTGAGCGACATTGAAGGTCTGCTGCGGTAGTCTTCGTGCTAGTAACTCTGTTGTGACACACTGAAATAGGTATGTAATTCTTCAGAGGCTATGGTTGTACATATTGTACCATAGTATGCTCTATTATGGGATACTGATCAGGGCCTGTGCGTGGATGTTAGGCATCCTGAGCCATCAGGGTACAACAATATCCAAGAGGCCCCTGATTTTCAGGGCAAATTTGAAGTTTATCTCGAAATTTTAGGGCAGCGGAATGTAATTCTTCCTGTTTTTTGGGGTAGATTAATATTGCGCATCATTCTACGCATAGCTGGGGAATCTTTCCCAAAGTAAAGGTTTGTGCGGTGCGAACAATAGTCATACCTTCATTGCTAACCCACATGTCCGCACTGGATTGGCTGGGGATAATTTTCAGGAAACACAAACACATACACACCCACCTCCCCTTCCTCCCCTCTTTACACCCCATCCTCTCCCCCCTCACACCGACCTCCTCCCCTCCCCTCCTCCCTCCCCCCACGCACCCCCCCCCCCCCCCCCCCCCTTCCCCACCCCCTCCGCCCCCTGGAAAAGTCAAGCAAGGAAAGGACTGTGTCCACGTTCTTGAAGCACCCACATATTGAGATTGCCCGGGACAAGGGCACTGTGAAGAGCAATGCTCTTTGCGCATGCAGAGAGGCCACTTCATAAGCAATCATGTGATGGACAAGAAGACGATTGGTTTGTTGGTTGGTGTTAGAATATGAGATATATTATGCATAATTGTTTGCAGTGTAGACTGTAGTGTAGTATCTCATTTAACTCCTGGTGGTACACCTTCCTACCTTCCCTATATCAATATACCTCTTACCTATAGGTGTCAGTAGATCCGCACTGTGGATGCCCGATTGATCCTAGGGGGGGTTACAGGCGCGTTCGCCTGGAGGGTTATGGGCACACAAACCTGCTAAACAAACAAGCCTTTTTATCCCAATGGTCTTAGTCGTTGGGATTATAACTTGGTATCAAAGCGGTTACGGGTTTGAATCCCGGTGTGTACGCATGTAGGTCGTTGTCGCTGTGCTCAGTCCTGGGCCTCCCAGTGTTGGGGGGTGTCAGTAGATCTGCACTGTCGATGCCCGATTGATTCTATGGGGGGTTACATGCGCATTCGCCTTGGGGGTTATGGGCACACAAACCTGCTACACAAACAAGCCATTTTATCCCAATGGTCTATGTGGTTGGGATTCTAACAATAGGGACTTTTCTTCTTCCTCTTTCCTCTCGATAACCTCACGTCTACCCTAGCCTAAGTTCCTACCTCCATGGTTCCTAGGCTAGTCACTTTAACGTGGTATCAGAGCTAGTCCTAAGGTGATTTTTTATTAAATGGCGCCCTTCGATGCACCCCGCGTCGCCCTCCTCGTTTGCCTTACCCGTCCTGCGCCTGTCGCTGCGACGGGCTTGGTGGTCTCGGCGGCGAGCTGGGCCCCCGTTCGACCACACTGCTGCCAGGATCGCAATGTCAAACTCCTATACTATAGTCTGTGTAGGCTGTAGTGGGGTAGACTATATGGGGTACAACACTTCTAGGTTTTCCTACTTGTACCCACCTGCTTGCTAGTTCACTCATTCCTCATTTCTTCACATGGTATAGAGCAGGTTCCCTAGTGGGAACGATTCCTTGGGCCCACCACTGAAACTTTTTTTCTGACCGGAGCGCCAGTTGCTCCTGCCCGAGGCGCGCCTTGTGGGCCGCCCTTCTGTCGAGCTCTCGTAGAGGCCCCTCTCACGGCCCCTCGCGCCGCCCCTAGCGGCCCCGTCGCCGCCCTTCCAGGCCCCTCGCGGCCCCTAGCGGCCCCGTTGCCGCCCCTACGCGGCCCCGTCACCGCCCCTAGCGGCCCTGTCGCCGCCCCTAGCGGCCCTGTCGCCGCCCCTAGCGGCCCCGTAGCCGCCTCCCTCCCTACGCGGCCCCGTTGCCGCCCCTACGCGGCCCCGTCGCCGCCCTTCCAGGCCCATCGCGGCCCCTAGCGGCCCCGTTGCCTCCCCTACGTGGCCCCGTCGCCGCCCCTACGCGGCCCCGTCGCCGCCCCTAGCGGCCCCGTCGCCGCTCCCTTCCCTACGCGGCCGCGTCGTCGCCCCTAGCGGCCTCGTCGCCGCCCCTACACGGCCCCGTTGCTGCCCCTAGCGGCCCCGTCGCCGCTCCCTTCCCTACGCGGCCCCGTTGCCGCCCCTACGCGGCCCCGTCGCCGCCCCTAGCGGCCCCGTCGCCGCCCCTACGCGGCCCCGTCGCCGCCCCTAGCGGCCTTGTCGCCGCTTTCTTCCCTACGCGGCCCCGTCGCCGCCCCTACGCGGTCCAGCCGCCGCCCCTAGCGGCCCCGTCGCCGCCCCTACGCGGCCCCGTCGCCGCCCCTAACGGCCCCGTCGCCTCCTCCCTCCCTACGCGGCCCTGTCGCCGCCCCTACGCGGCCCCGTCGCCGCCTCTAGCGGCCCTGTCGCCGCCCCTCGCGGCCCCGTCGCCGCTCTCCTCCCTACGCGACCCCGTCGCCGCCCCTAGCGGCCCCGTCGCCACCCCTACCCGGCCCCGTCGCCGCCCCTAGCGAGCAGCCGAGCCGCCGAGTCGCCCAGCAGCTGAGCCGCCGAGTCGCCCAGCAGCCAAGCTGCCCCTGGAGCAGCCGCAACTGCAGCAGCCGCTCCTGGAGCACCCGCCACTGCAGCAGCCGCCCTTGGAGCAGCCGCCACTACAGCAGCCGTCCCTGGATCAGCCGCCACTGCAGCAGCCGCCACTGGAGCAGCCGCCACTGCAGCCACCGCCCTTGGAGCAGCCGCCACTGGAGTAGCCACCCCTGCAGCTGTCGCGGAGCTCTCGCCCTACAGTGGTAGTGGCCTCGCCGTTGCCGCCGTCGTACGCCTGCCCTTCTCGCCACTGGTGAGCACTGCCCTGCCCGTACTGCTGTTACTGCTGCTCTTGTTGCTGCTGCTCTTTCTACTGCTACTACTACTCCTGACGTGGCCAGATGCAGCGCCAGCGTCGCCCGCGTGAGTCCCTCACCCCCCAACAGCTTCGTGAGTGGTACGCTAGTTGGGGTTGTCGGGGTGGCCGTAGTGGGATTCGTTCTGTAGTGAGTAGTTCTGCAGCTGCGTGTAGTGGCCAGGTGCAGCCTCAACGTCGTCCGCGATCGGTCCTTTCGCCCCAGCAGCTTCGTGAGTGGTACGCTCACCGTGACGGATCACGGGGTACTGCTCGCTGTCCGTACGTCATTCGCACTGGTGCTCGGACTGGTCAGCCTTGCGGGACGTTGGGTCACGTAGAGTCCCGCTGCTTCGCCCGTCTGAGCGACGCCTGGTGTACGGAGTTTGGCGACGCGGCTGAGCTCCCCGACTGGGTGGAGCTGCTTCGGCTGCGGGTAGATATCTATGCTCTTGACTATGATGCTATCCTCACTGCCATGTATGCATT